CCCATGATTGTCAATCCTGACAACCCCGCCGCCCCCCACCCCCAATTTTCTTGGAGAAGAAAACCCTGTGAGCTGCTCGTTCTTTTTGCCGAGTTCAACCTCCCCATCTCCACATCAGCCATTCCAACCTTCCACCTCCATCTGCCACCCCCCCCAGCCATCTGTCTCATTTCTCCGAGTCGTTCCGTCAATCCGACCTTTCCCTCACTTTAATTGCATCTTCGGACTCATTGCTTCTCTTCCATGCGTGTTTTTTTTTTTTTTTTTTTTTTAATTCAGCCTTGAGACGTGCATTCGAAGTGGAACGAGCATTTGCTGACAATGGTTGAATAGCACGATGAGGGTGATCGTGCAGAGGTGAATAAAAACGGAAAACTGGGCAGGAGCATGAAGCAATAAAACATACAAATTGAGATGAAAGCAAACGAGGCCGAGGCACGAGATGAGTGAAGGGTGAGGAGGAGTGCAAATCAATGTTCGGAAAATTAAGTCACTTAAACTCGCCACGTGAAACGAATCCGGCTGACACCAAACGATCTGCGCTCACACTCTCACCTCGGGACAATTTAGAATGTTCAATCAGCCTCCCATGCATATATTTGGAATGTGGGAGGAAACCGGAATACCCATAGAAAATCCACGCAGGCCCGAGGAGAACATGCCAACTTCACACACGAAGGCCAGAGACGGGGTCAAACCCACGACCTCGCCACTGTGAGGTTGACCACAAGGTAATATTTCTTTTTAAAAAGAAGCTATTGTTTTGGTTTTTTTGTCGTTTTGAAGTTTTACCTCTACGCACGGTTTGGTCCATCTGCCATCTGTAAGTTTGTCTGCATTTACAGGATTCTTTTCAAACTTTTCTTCAGAACACATACAAAAGACAGTGGTTGCTGGCCAAAGGATTGTGCTACCATCTGCTGGCTTTAAATGTCATTACATTACAGCTCAAATGACATTTCATCTGTTTACAATAGCGGGTGGAGTCACGTGCTATTTGCTGCAAATCCCGAGTCAACGCTGCTTATCCGTAACAGGGTCGCGGGGAGTTGCCTGAGCCTATCCCAGCTGACTTCGGGCAGATGGCAGACTGCACCCTGAACTGGTCGCTAGTCAGTCGCAGGGCACAGAGACAAATAACCGCTCACACCCACATTCCATCCGTCACTGAGTGGGAACCGACCCCACGCTGCCCCCAAGTCCTGCGAGTGGACCACTTCACCATCAGCGACTAGTTTTTAAATTTTTTAGAATTGTTTTTTTTTTGTATTAGTTTTATTTTTTTTTAATATGTGGAGTGTTAAGTGTAACATAAATAAAAATAGGTCGCTATCAAACAGCTCTTTGACCTTCCTTCTTCTGTACAAACGTACAGTGATACTGAAATAAATACATTTTAAATGAACCCTGAAAATTCATGACAATAAAAGACAAAGAGCAAGATGTCCACTGTAATTATAGTTCATTTTAGTTTTTAAAATGTATGATGCAGTTTCAGTTTTCTTTTCCTTTTCATTTTATTGCGTTTGCGATTTTTACAATTTTTTATTTTTGTTTTAGCTACGGTATGTCGTTAGTATTCATTAACTCTTCCAACCTTGATCAATACCACATGCCAATAAATCACTATAACGATATTTTGCCCAACCAACAAGTCATGTGCTTTGGATATAAAGGTCAAACCAAAGACAGTTGTGTTTGTAGTCGTGAAATTACACGTCACGTGCACCGTTTCAACAGCGACAAAGCTAAAAATAAAAAGTTGATTCATCAAAAGAACAATTTAACTTTGGATAGCTCACACGATGTGGAATGTTCTAGCTTGCCCGGGACTGGGCTTTGCCAAGTGCAGGGACAACTCGCCATCCAAACCGAGTGCCCACTTGGGCGGGCAAAGATGAATCGGGGAGGAGCAGGCAACAACGCAAAGAACGATACTGGATTTCTTCTCTCATCGCCAATGGGCAATTAGCCACATAACCATCGCGAGCAGGAAATGGGATGCACTGGAAATGTCAATAAGATGATAGTGGGGGGACTTGGAAAAGGGGAGCGGAAAAAGGGGAAGAGAGCGAGAGAGAACATGGTAACCGCCCAAGAAGATATCTGACACCCACACCGGCAGTCCAACAAGCCAGCTGACTGCTATTTCCAGCATGAGATGACCCGCCAGCTGTAGCTTGGGAAGTCGAGGTTGACGGGGGGGCGGGGAGAGAGGGGGTGAGAAGGAAAAAGAGAGAGAGAGAGAGAGTCTGTCAACTTTCCTGGAGCTGGCCCATCAGTACACCATTCAAGGGCATTCGGTATTTACACGCTCTAAAAGAGGACCTCAAGCCTCATCTCATCACTATGTGATGGATTCGGTGTCCAATCAAACATCCCCACAGCAGTTGTTCTGCTTCACAAATGTTTTTTTTTTTTAAACAATGTGCAACAACACAACAAATGAAACGTTATTCTAGAAGAAAAAAAAAAAAGTGAATGGGAGTCGGTGCGGCGCAGACACTCGCCAAATGACATGATACTGTTCCGAAACTCATGACAAACTTCCATACAAAGCAAGTTTTTTTTTTTTTTTTACTAAACAGAGCGCCATCAGCTGGATGCGGTGGTACATTTCCCCCAACTTGGCTCCAATGAAAAGAAATTCATTCTTTGTTCCAAACTGATCTTTCTCCGAATCTGCACCAGAATTTTCCAGTTCGTGGCTTCTGCTTACACAGCCGTCACCAAAAAAATTAAACAACAATTGTTGATCAAAAAAGAATGTGCGAAAACTCATTTGACTTTTCTTCGGTTTAGTTTCAGGCAGAATTGAGACCTCCAGCATGTGACGGCTTCGGCTGTGCGGTATTCGAGAGCATATTCGTTCTCTTGCCCGCGACGTGCCAATCCAGCAGCAATTGGAGCAGCGTTGTAAAATCGCCGCCTGGTTAAGAAGTCACTTCGCACTTCTTCGGCGTGTCGTACTATTCACGCAATCCGAGGCAAGTTTCTCGAAACAGAATCTGTTCATGACAAACCACGTAGCAGCTGGGCGTTAGCGACACCAGCGACGAAAACACCAAACTCTTTGAGCAGACGTCCATGAAAAGCCAGGGGGAGTCGATCGGGAAGACTGCACTTGTACTCGCCACCAGTAAACAATCGATGAAGCAGATGTTCCGAAGCTTGAGAAAGCTTTACCTTGACTGACTTCAGGTTGTTCACAGGCTTCAAGCGGAAGCTCGTGAGCCAAAACAACCTTCGGTCGATACATGCAAAGCTTGACCACTAGTCCAAAGCATCCACTGAAAGGAGCGTTTGCCGACGCCAAGGCGCAGAGCGGCCGACTCGTGTGGCGGATAGATGCTAAATATATCGCAAAAATGATTTGTTTACAAGTGAGTAAAAACACTCGGGAGACATGAATGTAAACTCAGCCTGTCATGCTGTCTTGACGAAAGAACCCGATTGCACCAGTCGAAAGCTGCTAGCTTCTTTCAGTTGGCCAAAATCAACACTGTATGACTTCAGGTTGTTCACAGGCTTCAAGCGGAAGCTTGTGAGCCAAAACAACCTTCGGTCAATACATGCAAAGCTTGATCACTAGTCCAAAGCATCCGCTGAAAGGAGCTTTTACCGACGCCAAGGTGCAGAGCGGCCGACTCGTGTGGCGGATAGATGCTAAATATATCGCAAAAATGATTTGTTTACAAGTGAGTAAAAACACTCGGGAGACATGAATGTAAACTCAGCCTGTCATGCTGTCTTGACGAAAGAACCCGATTGCACCAGTCGAAAGCTGCTAGCTTCTTTCAGTTGACCAAAATCAAAACCGTTTTTTTTCTTTCTTTCAAAACAAAACGCATCACAACCAACTGTACACGGGAACAAAGTGAGGCTGAGGAATGATAACATGCGCCGTACATGCAGGATATTACATCTGCAATTTTGGTACACTTTGTGTCAAAATAAATCCTCGACACAACCGGGCGTTCAAAATTTCTGTCGTGAGAAAAAGGCTCGACCGTCAGTGACGGAGTGACGGACTTTCTGTTGTTACTGAGGGAATGCCCACCTCTGGTCACGACCAATCGCGCGTCACCCGTTTTTTTTTCTGGGTTTGGTCACGTGACGTTGACAAGCTGCTGCTTGAAGTCACCTGTTTTTTTCTGGGTTTGGTCAAGTGACGTTGACAAGCTGCTGCTTGAGGCTGTGATGTCATTTTCAGTCGACAGCAAGTGGCAAAATAGCTTACCCCCCAGAATCCAGATGGATAAAACAAGGCGGATTTTGCTGCTTAATTCCTATTCCATAAACAATATATGTATTTTTTTAAGTTTTACATGTCATTTTCAGTCGACAGCAAGTGGCAAAATAGCTTCCCCCCAGAATCCAGATGGATAAAACAGGGTGGAATTTACTGCTTACAAATTTTTTGACTACGAAGTACAGCAGGAGTTGAATAAGCACTTCTACTTCGACCGGAGTGTTTTCTGTACATCTGCCGAACTGCAATGTGGGAGAACTTTAGCCACTACTGATTTCTCTGAAGTGGAGTCCACATATGAGCATGCCCTTTTTTGGTTCTTTTATTAAAATGGTATGTCCAAAAAAAATGATGTAAAATGTATGCTTTCTTTTTTTTGTGGGGGTGAACTAGTCGTCAAATGATTTGCATTTGCTCTCGGACGCGCACGAAAAAGTTATCTTGTCCTACCAGATCGACACTTGATGATTTCTCCAAATTCGTCCTCCAGCGCCTCGTCGCAATAGTCCTCGGGTCGAACAGCCTCCGCCATGGGTCCACTGGGAAACCGGGTCTAAAATCTACTTTATGGGTCAAAGGATCGGATAATCCAAAGGGGAGCTGGATGGAGCAAAGTCTCCAGAAGCGGCAGCCACAGACTGGACGCGGGAGCCAAACTCCAGCCAAGAAGGGGACGACGACGGCTGAGATGTGTCTCGCCCAGCGAGATGGATCCAAGCAGGTGTGCGGACTCGGGAGTGGGGTGGCGCGGGGTCGTCGCCGCAACATTCTCATCTCGAAATAGTCCGTTGTCTGGCGGTTTTCGTTCGCAGACGCCATGCGTAAAAACCGACACCACGCGGTACTTGCCGCAAAAATATTATTTCACTGACATTCCAAACATTATCCGGAAGACATTTTTACCTCCATTATGATGTCTCGCTTACTTCCGGGTGGCAAAAGCTCAAAGCATTCTAACAACCGTTCCATGTCATACATTTCTTTTCGAAAAATTACACACACAAAAAAAAAAAATCAAAATTAACATTTGCAGTGGACCCCCGGTATTCGCGGAGGATCGGGACCGGCCCGGCCCACAAATATTGAAAATCCACGTCCGTATTATTGACGCCCAATGAAATTCATGAAGTTTGTTTTCATTTTTTTTAAACCCCCAAATCTAAAAACCATACAAACAAACACGGCCACATAAAGAAAATGGGTTTACCAGACCACCCCAAAAATCCTAAAAAATGTAAATTTATTAAAAAAAATTTTAAAAAAGAAAAGCGGTTCAGGGCGGCTCATACTGCGGAGGTCGTGGGTTCGTATGCAGGCCCCCGGCCTTCCTGTGTGGAGTTTGCATGTTTGCCCCATGCCTGTGTGGCTTTTCTCCGGGTACTCCAGTTTCCTCCCACATTCCAAAAACATGCAAGGTAGATGACTGAACACTCTAAAATTGTCCCTAGTTGTCAACATGATCATGAATGGCGTTTGTGTACACATAAATATATTTATGCCCTGCAATTGGCCGGCGACCAGTTCAGGGTGTACCCTGCCTATCGCCCAAAGACAGCTGAGAGAGGCTCCGGCATGCGCGCGGCCCTTAGCTCAGATAATGGATGGAAAACAGTTCAAATAATGGATGCAGTCATGAACAGACTGTAGAGAAGGGCTGGCAGTAGCTGAGCATGCATGCAGTCTTCTCATTTTAATACTTGCATGTATGCATTTCATGCAACACCGTAGTCTGTCACTAAGGTGTTGGTTGAAACAATGAACGGTACACTAAACTGACAGGAAGATACTTCAACTGAAACTTGAGTCATAGCGAGAGAGGAATAGTCTACATGCCGACTGAGGTAATGTTTATATTAAGCTCCCAGTCAAACACTTTTATAGGTCTCAAATTACAGCTAGGGAAAGATCAGATCAGGATTCAGATGGAAAAAAAAATATCTGCAGAACTACATCTCAAATTGCATAAACAGAGGCCGAACTGCTGTCATGCATGGAAATTGCATGTGTTTGTTGACAATAATGATCATGAAAAAAGAAAATGTCACTACATCTCAAATTGCATAAACAGAGGCCGAACTGTTGTCATGCATGGAAATTGAATGTGTTTGTTGACAATAATGATCATGAAAAAGAAAATGTAGTCGGTAAAGTTATGGTGTCCATGTCCATTGTCCGTACCTCGCATTCTGTTTTGGATCACAGGGCACATGCCTTCCCCACCCCCCAAAAAAAATCACAAGCATATCTTTTGAAGCCAGAATACATAGCTATGAAGCAGATATTCAAACCACTTCAACACCACCACCATGCGGCTGTCTTCATATCCATAAATTCTTACATGAGACCCATCTCACGAGCATGAAGATTCTCTTCTCCATGTTGAGCACTGCACCATTCTTTATCTGCCATTCAAGTTAAGGGTGAATTGTCTTAACATAAAAGATTCGATTTATTTTTACACTTACACGTCAGTGAACAATATTAAAATGTTTGCCCGTCTTGTAAAAAAAAGATTTCATGATGGCAAATTTGACACTGGAAGAGATTATTTCAGTCCATCCATCCGATTCAGGCAGCAGACAGAACATCACGCTCACCTTTGAGCGAATATTGTATTCTTATCTCACAGTTGCATTTAGGTAGATTAAAAATGTCTCTAACAAAGTAATATAAAAAAAATGTAATAAAAATGTCAAGACAGCTTTGTTGCGTTGACTTATGGGAAATAAAGGGGGCTCCATTGCACTTGCTCAATCGATCCAGCAGTGGGCAGCATAGCCGCAGGATGAAGTGCAGTTCAACGTGTTACATGAATGCTGCTGTTGATTTTTTTTAAGTAGATTTAAAGACACTTGCACATTAAATGCGACTCAGTACAATTTTGGCGCCGAGTCCAAATCGTCCCTTATTTTTTTTCTCAAGCACATTAGGTTTTAATAATAATATTAATCATTCCTATTATGTAATAACAATACTATAATCTCCAAAACCTGATGTTAGAACTCCAAACATACATTTAGAGATACACGAAGCCATCTCTGATTAAAATTTGCCCTTGACAACTGCTATTAGAAGATGAGGCTCGCCAGTAACATTCCACTCGACTTTGGACATCGCTGACGTGGACAGAGGTCCTACAACCAAATTTCTGCAAAGGTTTATTTCCAGACAGAGATGTAACACAGACACGTTTTGCGAGTCAGTCATCCGCTGAGCTTCTTTTTGTACACCAACATGCCACTGTCCTGTTTTCACATGAAAATCCAGGAGCCGTTCTCATGTGTCTGACCCTACAGACTGGAGCAAGAATCGATGATTGGTCGAGCACACCACTAAGCACAAACAAGAAATGTTCGTAGGTAGCCAAAGAGTCTCGCAAGCGGCGGCAGGAGTGGCACCTCACGTCAGGTGATACTGTACCGCTCTTTGTCCGTGACCCACTGAGCTGTGGAATCTCTCGAAAATGATGAAGCTCAGATGAGGACAATGTGATGCTATGAGCTATGACTTAGGGAGGATGACTGTCATCTTGAGCAGCTGCATAAAACAAAACAAAATAAAAATCACACCGATGATAAGTGGTGTGTTCATGTCGTCTCAAAACTCAAACTCCACTTAAATAAGTGAAAATGCATATAAAGTTTCATAGAAAGTGCACCTAAAATATGTTTAACTTAAATAAAATTGAACTGTACATTTTTTTTGGGGTGGGGGGGTTAGTTGAAGCCACTGTAACATGATGCAGTGTTGAAGGATTTACTTGACTGATTCTTTTGCTAACCACCAGAGGGCGCAAACGCATCATTGGCAGTACTTGTGCCACAATTTGCGAATCACTTACAACGGCTTGTCTCTGGTAACTTTGGGCAAGACGCGAGGTACACTTTGAACTGGTTGCCAGCCAGTCGCAGGATTATCTTTCATTTTGTACCAGTCGTGCATTTATTTCCCCTCGAATGAATCAATACGAACAAGATTTCGAGCACACACAAACGCATTTTTGTCATCAGCTGCTGATCTCATCCGGACTGCAGCTTGGCGACAAGGTGACAAATTTGAAATCTGACAGACCCTGCGGAATTTGAGCGCGCGTCCGCTCTCACGTCAAAGATGGCAGCAAATCATTCAGAGCGACTCTGGCGGTGTAACCGAAAGCACAGGTAGGTATCAAAGTCAAGGCCCGGGGGCCAGATCCGGCCCGCCATGTCATTTTAATGTGGCCTCCCTCCCAAAAGAAAGTCATGTGTGTCAACTTGCATGATCCTTGTTAAAATCTGTACCAAAATGTCTAATTGTCATGTATAATAAATGATGAGATTTTGCAATAATTGTGTTACCCTGTTTCCACTCACTTGCACAATAATTGACAAATTAAAAATCAAAACGAGTAATCCATTCTTGTCATGTATAATAAATGATGAGATTTTGCAATAACTGCGTTACCCTGTTTCCACTCACTTGGACAATAATTGACTAACTATTATAGTTGAATGATTTCAAAACGAGTAATCCATTAAATTTGTTGTGTACAAGTAAAAATGCAGTGAGACATTTTTGTGGTTTCACTGTTGGCCCTCTGAAGGAAGACGTCACTCCAAAGTGGCCCGCGACAAAAATTAGTTTGACACCCCTCACCTAGAGGGTCGCTCCAGTGACTGCACCGCCAGCTGAAGGAAGACGTCACTCCAAAGTGGCCCGCGACAAAAATTAGCTTGACACCCCCCACCTAGAGGGTCGCTCCAGTGACTGCACCACCAGTCAATCGTTGAGATAACAGATTGGCCGAGAGGAATCTCCTGCAAGTTTTGAGTCCATTTATGACGATGACGAGGATGAGAATGTAGTGATGACTATTAATTATTATTATTCTTATTATGAATTATGGTTGACCTTTTCTGATGTTGATTATATTCCAGGTCAGCGAGAGGATTTGTTGGAAGATAAGTCGCGTGCTTATCATCCTTCCGAAGGCTCGGCTCTCCACCGGCGCCATCACGACCGTACTTTTATGTCATGACAGAATGGAGGCTACAGTGTAAACTTGTGCACAACAATCCCTAAGAGCTTTTGGCAAATGAGTGAGTCGTATGCACCCCCCCCCCCACACCCCCCATCGCATCTCCCGCTCTCCTGAAGGCCTCTTTCAAAAGGCTGAAGTGGGGGAGAGGGGGCTAGTAGTACGTCTCGTAGCTCTTGGGGTTGAGGCAGTAGAGGATGCCCCCGCCGAAAGCGAAGATTGTCCCGCCCCAGGCCAGGCCGTAGCCCCAGTTGAACTCGTGGTAAATCTTCAGGTTGATGCTCTCGATGAACTTGATGGGGTAGAGCACCAAACAGCATGCCTGCAGGACCACTAGAAAAGAGATGCTCATTGTTCCTTCAAAGTCACTGCGGCCGGGCCCGCGGGAGGGATTTAGAGCGGACAAAATAAACATGTTAGTCAATGTTCAGTTTCATAAGAATGCGCGGTACATCATCGCGGTAGGTGTCATTAGCATCGATCGATGTGAGCTGCCGGGAGGGACAGAAACAACGGACGGAGGAAAGAATGAAAGATGAGAGAAGAATGCAAGTATGGAGAAAGAAGGGAAGGACGATAAAATCACCGCAAGATTAAAATGGGTCAAAGAAGGTCGCGAAAACTGGAAATACTGCAAGGATAAGACGGAAAGAAACGCGGAAAAAGAAGGTGAGGGGATACAAAGAAATAAAGAGAACGATATGAGAGCTGTCAAAATGATCAATCAAACGAGGAATCAGAGCCTGCCGGTAACCCATCGGGAAAATTGAGAAAAAACGTGATATTTATTGAACCAAAGCTAAAAAAGATTTTAAAAGTAAATCAATGCCCAATTACCAAGTTTATTAGCGATAATGGAATGAATTGAAATAAAAATGTGAGTGCTTGAAAAAAAATCTTTAACCACCTGAAATTAAATTGAAGTTCAGAAAATGAACTAAAACTAACGATTAATTAGTTAGCTAGTTAATTAATTAGTTAGCAAAAATGTCCTTTGTTTTGATCTTTGTCATTTCATTTCATGCATGAACATGCAGGGGTTTATTTTTAAATATGTTTATTTTGGTATTACTCTACAACTGGGTTTGGAAATTGCAGTTCACTTTATTACACAATAAAATCTTGCACTTGACAAATACTCCATTTCCCCCCCCAAAAAAGAAAAAAAAAACAAAAAAGAGCTAAAACTAAAACTAAAAAACAAAAACAAAGCATTAAAAAAAAAAAACGCATAGACCTGCTGGCAGGCCCCAAAAAGGTCAAAACGAAGGAAAACCTAATTTTAATTTAAAAATCACGAAATTTTATAACCTTGCCAATTTCTACAAATGATAATATAGAATGATACCATCCCAAATACGACACGGTCATGAAATACATACCACGTCAGTCACGAAGCACCGTCGTATGTCAAATTAATAGCTTGCTTCTGTGCAATGAGCCTCATCAATATATTGCAATCAGCTTTATATGTATGTAGCGGGGTCGGCGTTGTCTTATTCGAGGCTTTGACGCGGGTACGAAGGACAGACAACTAAGATGCAGGGGGAGAAATGGCAAGAAAATCTCCACAAATTTTGCATGTAACCAAAAATTATGTCGAGACGGTTTTTCCTGGTGAACTGGCGCAGATGGCTCGTGGCCAACCTTTGACCTCGTCGCTGTGATGTGTGCCAACCCACCTGTAGCGAAAAGCATGAAAGCGACAGGCCTGGAGAATCGCCGTCTGGTGCCGATGCACACGGCCACCAGAGCCACCAGGAATGACGTCAGCACCAGGGCTCCGCCTCCTAGCAACAGCGTCAGTGTGGCAACCTGCCAGTCTGCAAAAAGGGGTGCAAGGAGGATGGAGACAGAAGAACGGGACGCAAGATTTTTGAATAACCATGAATTGAATAATTAAAAAAAAAAAAAAAAAAAAAAGCAAAGATTGCCACCGTGGATGTGGAGCAAAGACCAGCCAAGTCCAATGAAATGTATTTCTCAATCTGAATCCGATCGCGCTCCCGGAAAAGATCTGTGGCAGCTTCGAAAGTCTCACCGTCACGCAACCAAGAAGCTTTGTTAAAATTCAAAAATGTAAATTAAATGCAGCCATTTGTGATCATCCGCTTTTGAAGTCACACTCTTTGAAGTCGGTCGGTGCGTCCCTGTGTCGTGTGCAGTCATTTACGAAGCTCCCAAGACCAAGAAGGGCTTTTTCTCTCACTTTTGAAATCTTGCCAAAATCATGCATCATCATCACAATAAGTATGATCATATCCTCTTAGTGGCGGGTTTTGATATTCGCGTGCTGTCCGGAAAAATATTGGCAAATTTGCCTCCACTAATTTCGTGCAGTGCGTGACTGGCCCGAGATATGACCAAGGACATACTTTTGACCTCGATCTTGCTTATGGTCTACCAGTGTCTGATTTGACAGTTTTGGAGAATGTAGGAAGGCAAAGGTCACAAGTCGTCGATAAAAAAGTATTTTTTTGAGGGGGGGATACTGTGCAGAGTTCAGTATTAACGCCTGATATCAGAACGAGGTCGACCGTACGACTGACGGTGCCGTATAGCCTCTGAAAGAACCCAACCGTCAACGAAATAAAAGATGAGCTGATGCTGCCTTTTGCAGTTTCTTAATAAATCAGCCACTATAATTATTTTCGTCTTGACAGGAGGTTCAGAAACACGTCAGGAAAAGACGAGGCGCGCGCACACGGAGGCGGGGAAACGATAGGAAAGAGCGGCAGAACAAAAGGAATCGAGAATTATTTTGAGGGCGAAGAGGAGGAAGCTCGACGAGTGAAGGGATGATTGGAAGGAAAAGAGGGATGGATGCAGGGACAGGAAAAAAGGAAAGGAAGAAAAAGCCAGAGGCTGGGAAGAAACATCCATCCATTCTCTGATCCGCTTTATCCTCACAAGGGTCGCGGTGGGGGTGCTGGAGCCGATCCCAGCTGTCTTCGGGCAGTAGGCGGGGGACACCCTGAACTGGTCGTCAGCCAATCGCAGGGCACACACAGACAAACAACCATCCATCCGCGCTCGCATTCACACCTTGGGACAATTTTGAGTGTCCAATCAGCCTGCCATGCATGTTTTTGGAATGCGGGAGGAAACCGGAGCACCCGGAGAAAACCCACCCAGGCACGGGGAGAACATGCAAACTCCACACAGGAAAGCCTGAGTGGGGATGGGACCCACGACCTCTTGCACTGTGAGGTCGACGCGCTAACCACTGGACCACCGGGCTGCCCTTGACAGAATTCACCTGAATAGAGAAATGTGCACAAACGCACAAACGAGAGGCTATGAAGCGCTTGGAGGG